ACCTGCCTCTGGAGATTTCCATTACTTGCATCTGAAGAAGTGAGGTTCTTACCCACGAAAGCTTATGCTCCCAGTACTTCTGTTAGTCTCAAAGGTGCCACAGGACCCTCTGTTGCTTTTTACAGATTCAGACTAACACGGCTACCCCTCTGATACTTGATATCAATCTCAGAGTTTCTGACGATAGCCTAGAAGTAGCCACTAAGCTATTCTATTCCAAATGTACATGTTTTTTCCTGCTTTTCAGGTATGAATCATTTTAAAGTATCTGCTTTCATTCATGTGTAGTGTTGGTTTTGGTGGTGACGTGATAAGAACAGAAATGAAAATCACAAAGCACTATTTGTATCACACCAGTCTACAATTTTAACCTTTTAGCTCAGGCATAGTTCCATATTCATATTTTTAACAACTATTATTAGTATTTTGTCATTTTGGATTACTTTTCTAGTATGTTTTCATAACAATCTTCCTACCTTCTCCCAATACATCTGCATCTTTAAAATTATATAGTTTTGTAACTAACAAAACATGTGCCATCTATGTTTGTGAAAAAAGAATGAAAATGTATTTTTGAACATCTCAAAACAGCTTTCTATTACCATTTCAAACGGAGTGGTCTACAAGTGTCTAGGAATATATACCTCAGCTGCATATGGCTTATATCTTTCTTATCTTGGGTAAAGTGAAAAATTTAATTATTTGGAGAAAAAATGCAAATTACTGCCAACTCTGTTAACTATGAGAGAGTTATATTATCTCCTAACATAAATTGTCACCAAACTGAAGAAAAGAGACTTTGGAAGCTGATCTGATTACTGTCAGTGTGAATGCTCAAACTCAACTGTTGGCGAATGTCCAGTACCGATCATTGAATAATCATCACCTCATCATTCAGCCTTCTCAACTGACATGCAAAACAACATCCAAATATTCATTGCACATCTGTGCCGGAGAGATTACGCATTAGCAATTCAAATCAATTCAATGTACAGGCAGTTTCTGCAAAGGCGTCTGTTTGGGTGAGATGCCTTGTTGTCTAGGATGGATAATAAGGCAACTCTGTCTAATCTTGGAGAACAATCAACCCATCTTGAGAAGGTGACTGACTACGTATGCTCTTGCCCTGACAGCACTAGAACAATGGCCCCATAATGCACTTGACTCAGCTGGTAATAAAATCTACTTTTGATTAGCAGCCATGGCTTGTGTCAATCACTGTATGATGCACCATTGTCCTCTGCTCCTGAACACAGTTTATTTACAGAGAAACAAAGGCTTTTTGGATATGGCTGCTGCCCAGAGATTGCAAAATAGATTGAGCTGTCAGCCCCACACACTAGATGAAGATTAATGAGTTGTGCAGACAATAAATATGAAGCAATGACCATAAATATGCTAATAGGTATTATCCATATACACTATAATTGCTACAAAAATTAAAAGGTAGTGTGAAGGAAATAGGTCACAAGGTGACAGATAGATAATCTTGGATGCTGGAGATCTTTGGTGCAGTTAGATTCTCTACAGGTTTATTTTCTCCAATTAAACCCCTCAAAAGACTAATTGTTTAAAAGCTGTTTGAATAATCTCTTTTTAAATAGAGGTTTATGGGGAAAATGTTTATGAAAAAGTGACTTCAATGAAAGTGTTATTAGAATGAAAAAGGTGACTATCAAAAGCAGGGTATGCAGAGATTAATATTTGCGATCAGCTGCCAAGCTTCATTATGAGAAAAATATACCTAAGTGGCACATCAATCAGGACTTCAAGGGAAACATACTAAAAGGACAACAATATATTTCCACACACATACAAGTGAATCAGATCATTCCTTGGGGAAATATACAAGAACCACATGTACATCTGTTTCCTTTGCTATTACATGTTGAAGAAACCAAAGATGGAAAGGATGCCTCTGGGTAAAATTTTCCAAGTGGTTTCGACCAAGCCTCTGATTTTGCAGTCGCCATAAAAGAGAATGCACTTTTGATGGAACATATTTTTAGACAGCCAAGAACTTGGTTTTCCATGTGACAAAGTCAAATAGTTAGATGTCCAGCTACTTAGTTTGCAGGTATAAAAGTTCCATTGTGCCTGGACCTGCACATGGAAAATCATAGAATCATAGAATATCAGGGTTGGAAGGGACCTCAAGAGGTCATCTAGTCCAACCCCCTGCTCAAAGCAGGACCAATTCTCAACTAAATCATCCCAGCCAGGGCTTTGTCAAGCCGGGCCTTAAAAACCTCCAAGGAAGGAGACTCCACCACCTCCCTAGGTAACACATTCCAGTGTTTCACCACCCTCCTAGTGAAATAGTTTTTCCTAATATCCAACCTGGACCTCCCCCACTGCAACTTGAGACCATTGCTCCTTGTTCTGTCATCTGCCACCACTGAAAACAGCCGAGCTCCATCCTCTTTGGAACCCCCCTTCAGGTAGTTGAAGGCTGCTATCAATTCCCC